TCTTCTTAATTACTCAAGAGCTGCACTATAGTTAGACTATTTAAAAGCAGGTCATAAAGAACCCATTAAAACTGTGATGTCTGGAAGGAAACACTTAAAAAATAGGAATTAATATTCAATGGAAGTCAGGTTAGTTCATTGATCCATACAATAAAGGTGGATTTGATTACACAAGAGGAAGACTTTACATACGCCACGTATGTGTCCAGAATGACAGGTCATCTCTCCATAAATCACACTTCTTAAATCTTAAATATAATAGATTTCTTTGTGTAATTATTAACGGAGACGGTGCGTTTGGACATCACAGACTGACTAACCATGTCACTTTATTAACACCTGCAACATACATCATTATCATACATGAGAATGTGCATTTGTTTCACTACATGCATCTAATTTAAGATATCTCGTTGCATCTTAGTTGTAAAAATTCATTAAAATCAAATATACAGGGATAAACAATAATGACAAATTATTTACCAAACAAATAGTGGACAGTATGTCAGCAACCATGATAGCATTTTTTATAAATTGTACAGGAATTTAAGGGCAGTGGTTGTCACATGTTCAAACAACAAACCCACGCTTGACATTAAATTTGATGCATCTATGTGATTCTGAGTGCATTTTCAAGATATAAATACACATTTTTCTGTATTAATCCAATGATAATTACGTCTTTGATGCATAATTTTGCCTTGATGCGATCCTTGCAAACTGCATCAATAAAGTCGGCTTTATAATCAAACTAGAAGTAAGGCGAGATCAGTGGTCTATGCTTCAATGGAATTACAAGACAAAACAAGACAGAGAAAATCATTTTCAATGAATATTAAAATTGAATAATACTAATTATGAATTGTCAAGATCTGATGATTAAATTTGATGGGATTAATCATTAAAGTCACTTAGACTTTTTTCCAGACTTACAAAATGTTGTCTTCCACAAAATTAAAGTTGTTTCTTGTTTATAAATGTCAATAATTTGCAATAAGTTTTTAAAAAAATTATAGATTGCAAATGTCAATATTACAGAGTAGACTCCAGTTTAATACTTTGGGTAATAAAATTGTCTCAATTAGTGAAAAACAGTTTTTCTCACACAATAAGCTAGCAAAACAGTTATATTTTTGCTACTGTCCATTCAATGGTTTGATGATTTTATAAGCGTTCATGGGAATAAATTTTTATGAAAACCACTGACATTTCTTAATGACCAGGTGGGAAATGTCAACTGTGACTCCCTAGAACCTCAGTAAAATGTTGACTGTGACTCCTTAGGACCCCAGTGAAAAGTTAACTGTGACTTCCTCTGACCCAGTCAAATTTTAACCGACTCCCTAGAACCCCAGTAAAATGTTGACTCTGCGACTCCTTAGGACCCTGTTAAATATTAACTGTGACTTACTATGACCCTAGTCAAATTTTAACCGACTCATTAGAGCCCCAGTAAAATGTTGACTCTGCGACTCCTTAGAACCCCAGTGAAAAGTTAACTGTGACTTCCTAGGACCCCAGTCAATTTTTAACTGACTCATTAGAGCCCCAGTAAAATGTTGACTGTGACTCCCTAGGATCCCAGTGACATTTTAACTGACTCCCTAGAGCTCCAGTGAAATGTCAACTTTGACTTTCTAAGACCATATTGAAATATTACCTGCTACATAATTTCACAATTTTCCTGGACTGAAGTGGTTTACTGCAGATGCAATCAAAATAAACATCTACAAACATAATGGATGACAAACACAAACCCAAGAAAATATCAGCTCTAATTTGAAAGCTTACATGGATGGACAGATAGTTATCAATGAAGAGGTCAAACTCTGCCAAGGAAGTCATAATCACCCACAAATTGCATCGCTGGCATTTGAAATCTGATATTTTTCACCAAGCCTAATTTATTCATGTCATGTATTGTATCTCAATTTGATTAATTAATGTCACCGAGTCAGTATTTCAACATTAAATATTATCTCAATTGAATAACACTTATCAAAATATTTGAAATACATCTTTCATTCGAGTCTGAAGAATATTTTTTCTGTTTTAAAGTCAATTTTATTTTACAGATGAAAAAACTCCTTTTGGAATAATGGATAACTGCAATTCATTTATAATCTTGACATAAATTTCTTGTAGAAATGCCGTGACTATACATGTATTCTGAGAATTGAGGACTTAATGCTACATTACAGTGCGAATGCTATATAAAAGAAATCAGTCCTCAAAGCATGAACACCTGGATACGATAAGCATACAATCTCAACTCAATTATATAAAGATTGTTGAAAATACACGTCAAATGAAACAAGAGTTTATACTTTAATATGAGAAAATGTTAATATTCACCAACAAAAATGTTATATATTGCTTGGATCAACTGCAGATAATTTAGAGAAACGAAATGAATGCTTTGACCTTGAACTGAGAAAGCACAGACACAAAAGATGTATATCTGAAATAAATCTTCATTTGTAGATGTTTATAAATTAACATCATAATGCAATTTGCCTTCACTAGATTTTTTTTTACTTGTTATGACCTTTTACATTCATTAACAGTTTTAAGGCACATAGGAGCTACAGAAATGAATCCATAACTAAAAATTACCTTATTAGAAATTGTCATCAAAATTATTCTGAAGAAATTTATTGATCCCATACTATGTAAAATTACAAGAGTTGAAAATAATTATAATATAGCTCTAACCAATTTTGAATACTTTGATAGATTAGGACCTACTTGATAGAATCAATTACTTTTTTAGTACATCAAACCCGTCCATGAAAGATTGAAAACTACAAGTGTTGGCTCAACAAATCTAATTTACATATAATACCCCAAATATGCACTTGACCTTGTCACACACATTAACAACCATGTAATGATATAGGAATGACAACAAACTACAGTACAGATCATATCAGATACAATGCAGCCAAAGGTTCTCCGGCCAAAGCTAGGGTAAGCAAGACCCAGGCCTGTTAGGCCAACTGGCTGTTGAGGCAGCTGTCTTCAATCACATTACCAAACAATGCTAGACAACCTGTATACAAACTGAATTAATTCAAATAATAGACCTTAATTATGCTTGACCCCACCTGAAGGTCATACACCTTGGAACTTCCTAGGAGTCTCCCTTTACAGCAACAATGTACTATCACACCTCTCTGTTGTGACCATGCTGAACTGTTTATGAGAATCAAGAATACCCCCCCCCCTTCAATAGCACAAGATGCGTGACCTTTATAAGGTCAATTCAAGTCTTTATAGGTATATTTTTGTAATTCCGAATTATATCTAGTTTTATTTTGGTTTATACTATTTTGTTGTATTCTTGCAGCTATTTGCTTTGTATGTTACAGGGACTCACTGGGTAACAGCTATTTATAGCTGAGTTGAGCCACCCTGTATTGAATAGATATTGAAGAAAATAAATAAATAAATAAACAAACAAACAAACAAACAAACAAACAAATAAACAAACAAACAAACAAACAAACAAACAAACAAACAAACAAACAAATAAATAAATAAATAAATAAATAAATTAGGAATAGGACTAAGAAAATTATAATACTAAATATAACCCAGGAATGAAATGATGAATACCATATGCATGTACTGAAGGAAAGTAGAATAAAAAACAGCTAGCATTTCATCTCTACATTTTGTTACCTCATATATTATTCTATTAAAAAAGAATCAAACCTCGAAATTATAACTTTATTACAACATACTGATAAATACATTATAAAATCTGCAGGATAATGTATATACAATGCCTTAGCAGGAATTGAAAAAAATATGTATATGATGTGTGATCCTATCTGCAATTCTTCTCATACTAGTATGTTATTCTTTATATACTGAGAAAAATGTGTGTACCGGTAGTTCTAAAGATGCAATAAAATTAATATTTTTTATTTTTATATTGATATCAATGTTTTATATTGATGTAGTTTTATAACAGAATGCAGTGTACATACCTTGATTTTCTTTATTGGCTTCATCTTCATAGTCGTCTGTAGGTTGCGTTGGATCGTATGTGTCTACAGCATAACTTGATGAAGATGAGCTAGGAAGCGCATCGTAACTAAAACCTACTGCCGAATATTCACTTTCTGATGACGCTATAGCTTCATTTAATCTTTTTAATTCTTCCTCTGAAAAAAAATAAAGATTTTGTTAGAAATATCCATAGTAACAATCTAATGAACAGTGTGATGATGTTTAAACTTTGCTTTAAACTCTGGAAATGAGCTTTTAAATTTCATTTAAGCTTGTTTTGTCAAATGTTGCATTGACTCTCTAAGAGAATTTCACAATTTTCCTGGACTGAAGTGGTTTACTTTTGCATTGAAAAGGTTCTTGCAAAACCTTCCAATAACACTGTTCTCTACAGGACCCCCCCCCCCTTTTTGTTGACACTTTTCTCATTTTCAAAACTCAAAAGCAAAGTGTCCTTGAATCAGTTGCCAGATGCCAGAACCACAAAAGAAACTATTTTGTGGCAAAGAGGACTTTGCTGACTATATTAAAGTGCTTCTAGATTGGTTGACCACAATGTTTTGTTTACAAATCAGGAGACCCTGCGAGCAAGATAACCTTTGGTCTTATCTGGACAAAAAAAATGTGATTATGTTACACGATAGAGTCTAA